TCACTAGCTATGTTCCTATGGGTGTAAAAAGACAAAGCGGTAACTAGACAGATAACCCCCAAAGATTTGGGAGGGTATGGGCATAGTTAGTCAGAAGATGGGTGAGGTTGCAGATGCCATGTACTCCTTTGCCCAGACGGTTGTTGCGGTAAAGGATCCAGAGTATAGAAAAATCCATCCTAGGTTCGACGAATTCAGACCCTACTTTGATGGGTGCATAGGGGCTTTGGATGGAACACACATCAAAGTGCAAGTTAGTCGCAAGTCACGGTTGGACTTCATGAATAGAAAAGGAGAAGTTACCATGAATGTGTTAGGGATAGTGGACATGGACGGGCTTTTTCAACATATGTTGGTGCGGGATCGTGGGGTCTTCTCATGACATGTCGGTTTCGACATATTATATGGGCGACCAGATTACCCGCATCCCCAAAGAGTAATATTGCATTATCATTGACTATGTTGTCGGTTTGTAAGAGTACCTTTGTGAGTAATTGGTGAAATGACTTGATGAATTGCGGAAGATACTACTTGGTGGACTCGGATACGCCAGTATGCGTGTAAGATATTTGGGGCCATATCGGAATACAAGGTACCATCTGGATGACTTCAGAGCCAGAGAGGCGGATGGATATATGGAGAAATTCAACTATTAGCATTCAAGGCTTCGCAATGTTGTGGAACAGTCGTTTGGGAAGCTAAAAGCTCGGTGGCACATTCTGTCCGAAGTCCCAAATTATGTGAGACCTAAGCAAGTGAAGGTGGTAATTGCATGTTTTGCTCTACACAATTTTGTGGAGGGCGAAAACGAATGAAGGGTCAAGCAAGAGGAATATTCATAGGGTCAGAGAGGTTACAACCTCTCATCATGGGCGGACATCGGTTGAAAGTGAAGACATGTCGGCGTGCGAGATTGGATCGCCATGGGACTATGGGCTATGTAGTGCATGTATGTACACAAAAAGTCTGCTGTGCTTGCTACAATTTAAACATGTTGTATGTGCACTAACAATGCCATTTGCAGGACACAAGGAGCTGGATCGAGGAGGCAGGCAGCAGAGACCACCAGTTTCGGCCACCAGTAGTGTGATGGATCTGCAACTGCTTTGCAATTGGATGCTTCCTTGGTTTGTTTTATTTGAATTCATGTCATTGATTTGTTTGAACTGTGTCCGCTTCGCTTTCCTTTCCATTGTTGTAATGTGGCTCATCGTGAACTATGTGTGCCGTGTTGTCATGAATTCAAATAAACTGTGTCATGTCATGTAAATGTGTGGCTCGGATGTACCACTTCAGTTTATGAGACTAGTTAAATCTTGTCCGGTATGTAGACTCACTTTAAATTTTGTAGGTGGCCACGAGTCAAGGCGATTAGAAGCTTGTAAATGCTTGCAAAGGAGAACAACAAGAACTTGACAGAACTACAAGATATGCTAGTGTGAACACCCATCTTGGAATTGGTGAGACTTATATATAGTATTAGTTGAAGTTCTTTGTTTCCTTGATATGCATTGTACTATTCTTCAATATATGTTGTCTTTGCGCCCACCGCTTTATTAAAATTGTCGCTAACTTGTAAAAGATTTGTTGTCCTGTTTGTGCTGTTGTTGTAGGTCGGCTCGGTGCTTGCGCTTTTGCTCAATCTTTGCAGGGGTTAATACGCATGTGTACCTTCCAGTTACTTGTTTGGTTTTGGGATTGGATTAGTAAGCATCCAGGTTGGTACAAATTGATACTGTATTGTTTTGTTGTTTCTTTGGAACAGGGATCCCTTTGTCCGTAAGCATGTGAAGGGACCAAAGTGGCTCTGCAGCTTGCTCGTTGGGGTAAGTCTTGGCTTTTGTTTATGGCTATACCTTACATGTTCTTTTGTGATCTATCTTAGATAGCTTACTAAAGTTTGGTGTGAATATTGATCTAGTAGTCTGATCAAATATTTTACATGTGTGAAGCCTAAACCATTGGGTAAAATGGTGATCTTTTGCAAACAAATTCTCAAGGAAAAACTCTACTTGTTTAGTATATCTCGTAATCAGCTTTAAAAAGGATATGTTAATAAATGAATGTCGATTATCTTGATGTCGGGATCAACTCAACTACAAACTATATAGTATCGTGACATTGGAGGATTTTGAAAAAATACAGAGTAGTATTTCAAGGCAAAGTAATAGTCAAACTCAGATATTTGATTGCTCATGCGTGGTCATTTCTCCTGACCATTTTTAGTTTATCTTTAAAAACATTGAACTGGGGGAGCTGAACATGGCATTCTACACATTAAGGTTTAGGGAGCTAACCTCCCTAACACATTCAGGTTTTGTTATGTGGTTACCGGTATTGTGGTTTGTCAAGTCCTTGATTTGGCCATTTGCTGTCAGTGCTGTCAGGGGCAATGTAATGTTGAAGTTACCTTGTGCCCATGCACCAGGGTAAAAAAAATTTGTGCCAATCAACAGCCTCACCATATGTTTCAAAAGAATTGTGTATGCTACTTAAACAGTGCACCGGGTCATTTGCTTATAGCTCCGCCCCTGTTTGCTGTCCTGTGTTTATGTGGCAATTGCTAATAGCTTTTGTAGATTGTAATTTGATTGCTATAGAACTTTGAGAAAGGATGCTTTGTTGCGATCTGTTCACTTTGGAAATTGCTACTTCTAGGTGCCACCGCTGCTGATGTTCTCAGATGCCATGACGAAGATGGAAGGTTGGGTATCTGACTTTTGTATGGCTATCTTTGTTTTCCTGTGATTTGTGTTGGAAATCGTGTGCTATATATTGCCTGCACCTGCACCTGGGGAATAGTTGCCGATGACCACCCTCTGAATAGCAATTTTGTACCTGACATTTTAACTCCATCCACTACTTTACAGTGGTCCTGAGTCCTCATGATCAGTTACTTAAATGACTTTGTGACATTTAGGTGCTAAGTTCATTTGGTTCAAATGCTAAAATATGGCATGAGTTCCGATGTATTGCCTTTCAGCCTCACTTTGATTGGTGCAGCAAAAGAAGGAAGATGGCACAAAGGATTCTACAGTGCGATCATAGCACTGTGATTTGTGTTGGAAATGGATGGCATGAGTTGTTTGTTGTGTCTGTAATTAACTTGTTGTACAAATGAACTTTCCATGACTTGTAAATTGACTGGATTGGTTACCGGTGCCTTTGTTTTGAATTCAAATGCAGCACTGTAGCTGGTCGGCTGCTGGCCATTCAGGGGGCTGATTCCACCCGATTCGAGCACTGTAGCAGTATGAGCAGTCCAGCTGACATCAGCCAAAAGTGGAGCAGCCGAACGGGTTGTTGGTTTGGATTCCTGTTCCCACCGCCTCCCTTCCTCCCTCCCTCCCTCCGTCCGGCCGTCCCTTACCTTCCTCCTTTCCGATTTCGATTTGGGACTCTGCTCCGCTGCGTCCATCCATCCATCTCCTCGCCATTGCCGCAGCACGCACTCCCGCTACGCTGCTCTCCTCCAGGTACAGTGCCTATTCTACTGTTGCTCCCGCCGTCCGCCTATCCCGCTCCAAATTCGTTCTCTTTTTTCTTCTTCTAATCTGGAGTAGTGTATCAAATCATGCACTCTCATCTCAATGCTCTGCTATACTAGGTCTTCTCCGGGAAGGAATCGCCGCGCCGGTCCGCGCCGAGGTAACTGACGCCTTTTCCATCCTTCTCCGTTTCCTCGTTTCCTGCTGCTTTCTACTACTAGTACTAGTCGACTCCGGCCGCCGCGACATTCGCCTGCCTCGCCCGCCGAATCCACCCAGCATTCTGCCTGCTCCTGGACTTCCCCTTCGATTCGATTCATGCTGCTTCTGCCTGCTCCCTCTCTTCCCTTCGCGCATTCGCTCGCCGCTTGCCCAAGACGGCGACTTTTTGCTATTGCTTCCCCCCAATCTTGTTCCTTCCTCAGCTCTGTCTAATCTACTACAGTACTGCAGTTCGGCGGAGGTAGGCGCCGATTGCTGTTTTCTTGCCAAAAAACCAAAAAGAAAAACAACTTTTATCTATTTATTTATTCATTCATTCACATTAGGCACTCGAGTTTTCCCGTTTTTTTTAACACCACAAAAAAATTGTGTTGCGTAAATTGGTGCCAGCAATGATTCTGCATCGCGTGGTTGCCCAGTGTTGCTCATGCTCGCACGCAAATATTGTTCCACACATACCAATCAATCGAACCCCAGGCCCCCAGCCGAATCGAATCTACTACTTGAGTAAAGTAATGGACTTGCCCTGCCCTCATCGATTCTTCAGCCTTCACGTCTCCCTCTCTTCCATCATTCTTCATGCTAGTGCCAATAATCCACATGCTAAAAAACAAAATAAAGTCCTCAATTTTTGGGTGTACCACCGATCAACTCACCTCAACTTCAACTTTTCAATCTGTACTAGTCCATGCCTATAGTCCTTCCCCCCAACAATAACAAGAGAGATTGTCAGCCCTTATGTTTCTGCAGAGTACTTGTTTGTTAGCATCAACCTTGTTTCTCTGCAGTTGAGGCCTGACAGTCCATTCGTGCTGCATGTGGACACTAATCATTAGGTGCCACACAACTAAGTTTGGGGGTGCAATAGCGTTGCCGAGGTTGATCAGTTTACCTGTTGACCTGTTACCACTATTTATAGTCCTTCCGAATTCTGTAACTAAACTGTCCAGTGTCCACCTGTTACCACTATGTATAGTCCTTCCAAATTCCTGCAACTGCAATTTGCTATGATGTTAATAAGCATATAAACACACAGGCAGCTAGACAGTCAAGGTGTGCTGGGTTGCAACAGAACATCAAACATGTGTGCTGTTCATCTTACCCAAGTAACACCATGTTTATTTATTTACAAATATTTCAGCACATCTAGTTTATTTATTTACAAATAAATAAACTAGATGTGCTAATACCAACCTTTTCCTGCAGCAACTGAACCGTGGCTATCGAGGATGACGCCGCGTTTCAGATGACATAGACTGTGTCAGTGCGTGACACGCTTGACACCCAGAGATGAAGATCAGCGCGCTACTCACCTCTGCGGGCATCAACATTGGCCTCTGTGTCCTCTTCCTGTCGCTCTACTCTGTTCTCAGAAAGCAGCCAGCCAATGTCAGGGTCTACTTCGGCCGCAGGATCGCTGAGGAGCATGATCGGCTCCGAGGGGCTTTTATCTTGGAGAGATTTGTTCCATCTACTGGATGGATAGTCAAAGCCCTGCAGTGTACTGAGGAAGAGATCCTGGCTGCTGCTGGCTTGGATGCTGTTGCTTTCAATAGAATTCTAGTATTCAGGTATGGTGTGCAAAACTTACTCCCTTTTCTCCTCCTTATTTCATTTGTGCCCTGAAAATTTCATAATAGTGCATGTGTTTAACCTCAGCAACAAAATTGGCCGACTGATACATTTGTTTACATATTCAACAGCATACGCATCTTCACCCTTGCCGCCCTTTTGTGTGTCTTTGGGATTCTTCCGCTCAATTATTTTGGACAGGATATACACCATGTTCGAATTCCTTCGAATCACTAGATATATTTACAATTGGGAATGTAGAAGTGAAATCAAGATGGTAAGCCAAACAACGTATTTTTTTAATCTATTATCATTTGCTGCCATAGACTGCTGAAATGTTGTCATGTTGTGCTTTTGTGTATTATATATATGCCGCTTTAATTGCTGGCATTTTGAAAATGTTATTTGCCTTTGGCGGTAATCCAACTTGCTTCTTCACTCCTTTAGAACTTGAGGAATGAGCATTGTGCATGTTTTGATGTTCACTTTGTATTCTGGCTTCCTTGCAGGCTCTGGGTCCATTGTGTAACCCTGTACATAATTTCTGGAGTAGCTTGCATTCTGCTATACATTGTAAGTTCGCTTCCATTTTGAATTGCTGGAACATACATCTCCTTGTATCCAGAATGTTTTTGATGATTCATTTTTTTCCTAATTCAGGAGTACAAGCACATTGCCAGGTTGAGGCTCCTTCATCTTACAAGTGCAACACCAAAACCAAGCCATTTTACAGTTCTTGTTCGGGGAATACCAAAGGCAGATAAAGAATCATGCAGTGATGTTGTTGATGGTTTCTTCACAAAGTATCACTCATCTAGTTATCTCTTCCATCAAGTAGTTTACAAAGCTGGGAAAGTTCAGAAGATAATGGTAACACTCGAATGCATTTCACTTTTCCTAGTGACGAGCATTTACTATTATAACTCTGCTTCTTCTGTTCATTAGATTTTCGCACAGATGGATAATCATTTTTTTTTGTTTTTTTTGACATGAATCAGTGGAAATGTCCAATTCCTCGAGTTCAATATTTCTCTTTCTTTATGTAATTTGTTTTTTGGGCGAAAGTTGTGTGTATTTTTATTTCACTTTATTTATGCTTTTGGTGTAACTTTAATTTTTAACTCTGACAGACTGGCGCAAAAAAGGCATATAAGAAGTTCAAACATTTCACAGATGAAACAGTCGATCAGGGATGCAGAACAATTACCTACCGCTGTTGTCTGTGTGGAGCCTCTTCAAATTCTTTCAAGTTATTGAACACTGAATGTGAGCAGAACAGGGGGAAAGCTGACAATAAATCCATCTTGGACTTAGATGATGAGGTTAAGCTTGCATGCATTTGTTCTTTTGCTTAATATATCAGTTATTTGGAATAAATTAGTAATTATTATGTGGGATCGTATGCAGGAATGCACAGCTGCTTTTGTATTTTCAAAACTCGGTATGTCACTTGTTGCATCAGAAATACTTCAAACATCTAACCCTATGAAGTGGGTTGCTAATCTAGCTCCAGAACCAGAAGACGTGTATTGGTCCAATCTTTGGCTACCCTATAAGCAGCTTTGGGCTCACCAGTTATTGCTACACTCCTAGGCTCTATTTGTTTTATGTTCATATTTCTGATACCGGTGACATTTATACAAGGGCTATCTCAGCTAGAGCAGCTGCAGCAGAGGCTTCCTTTCCTAAGAGGAATATTGAAGAAGTAAGTACAGGAATTTCAGTTGGGCTCTCCTAATGATAGTATCAAAATCATCTTGATAGAGTTTGACACTGTTATCTCATGTTGCTAGATGCTATTCATTTATCTGTCTCCACACTGCACCTATTGACTGTTATGTATGTGCAGGAAATACTACATGACTCAGCTAGTAACTGGATACCTTCCCAGTGTCATACTGCAAATCTTTCTGTACACTGTTGCTCCAATTATGATGCTATTTTCTACATTGGAGGGTCCTACATCACACAGTGAAAGGAAGAGAAGTGCTTGCTGTAAAGTGCTGATCTTCACAGTTTGGAACATATTCTTTGCTAATGTATTATCTGGTACTGTCATAAGTCAATTGAACGTGTTATCAAGCCCAAAGGACATACCTGTCCAGCTTGCTAAAGCTGTACCTGGACAGGTAAATCACATCTTTTTTTTTGGTTCATGCCATAGAAAGAACAAGACTTTGATTAAGATACATAAAATTTGTTGCATGTGGAAAGATACTATATTCATTCTGTATTTAATTTTCATCTAATTTGTTTTGCTTTTCTGTAAATCTAATTTTATTCCAGGCCACCTTCTTCATCACCTATGTCCTGACCTCAGGATGGGCTAGTTTGTCATCTGAAGTTATGCAGCTCTTTGGTCTGATATGGAACTTTATAAGGAAATATGTTCTGAGAATGAGAGAAGATACAGAATTCGTTCCCTCATTTCCCTACCACACAGAAGTACCAAAAGTTCTGTTGTTTGGACTATTGGGATTCACATTGTCTGTGCTGGCTCCTCTGATCTTACCTTTTCTGCTGGTGTACTTTTGCCTTGGTTATGTTGTCTACCGCAATCAGGTGATAAGCTAGAGATTTTTTTTTTGTTATTTACCTCAAATTTATCTGTAGCATGCTAATGTACTAGTTGTGTTCTTTTCAGTTGCTCAATGTGTATCGAACAAGGTACGACACAGGTGGTTTGTATTGGCCAATTGCATGCAGCACAGTCATATTCTCTCTTGTGCTCACCCAGATCATCTGCCTTGGTGTATTTGGACTCAAAGAATCGCCAGTAGCTGCAGGCTTCACCATACCTCTTATCATCCTTACTCTTTTATTTAACCAGTACTGCAGAAACCGACTTCTTCCATTATTCAAGACTTTTCCAGCACAGGTAATATTAGTTCCTTAAATTATGTCATGTCTAGATCTACATGGGTTTTACTAGAGCATAGAAAATAATTGAGGACTAGAGTTTTCGTGACACTGATTTCCTATCTTGTGACGTTGACTGCTGTAATGTGATTTTGTAGGATTTAATCGACATGGACAGGGAAGATGAACGGTCAGGAAGAATAGATGAAATTCACCATGGACTTCATTCTGCTTATTGCCAGTTCCCTGACACCGTAGATGTACCCTTGGAGAAAATTGAAATTGTTGGCGGGGATGAGGAGCAAGGTTCTACCTCGGGTGAGTCCAGTGGCAAAGAAACCTGCGAGGATCCCAAGAAGGACCTGTCTCACCCAACACTAAAAGGACTCCCTGTTAACCGTCTCCGGCATGCTGTGAGGTCGGTTACTTTCCTGATCAGATTGCAGAAAAGAGGTTTATCAGAACAGAAAATCGGATAGTTGTTAGCTGTTAACCCCCTTTGCCTGTTGGCTATATAAATGTACAGAGACATACATGCATATACGACCCTTCCTTAAGAAAAGAAAAGGGCTAACGTAGAAATCTATATGAGAGCATCATCATGAGTGTTGAGGCGCAATTTTGTTGTTTTGAGTTGTCGCATGGATGAGTTAGTGGTTCTGCATTTTAGTCAGATTCAGCTACTCAAACATTAGCCTTGCACATTGATGTAATGCTCATGGTTTTGTTGTAAGAGATTAATGTAGCCAAAGTGATCTATATATATAATGTTCCTCCTCTCCATTGGTTTGTGTGATTGAGCCTGGCAACTTTAGCAGGTCTGTTAGCCTTCATGCACCAATCATATTGAGGTATTGAGGATTATACTAATTGGTCTTTAGAGCTGTCGGTACCCTGACTGCCTGTAAGCATGTTAGATTGGGACTGTAGTCGAATCCATGTTGTCAAGGAGCATGTGCCATCATCTTGTACTTAGTGGAGGTTCTTAACACAGCATTGAGCTGGTATCTGCATATCTGCAGCTGTTGGGAATCATATTCCTGTACCAAACTTCACAGTCAGCATCGGCCTAGTCATCAAGATCTCTCAAGGGGGACATCTTTTGTATTGTTCTTCACACTGATTGCAGTGAATATTTGTTTTGTCTCTGTTGGTATCCTGCCCTCTTTATTTATAGTATATTGCAATCTTTTCCACTAGCAGTTGCTGAAGTCAGTGATGAGTTGTGCACTTCATATATGTATATTTTTTGAAGTTTCCTGCCCGTGTCTTCAGAGGTACGTCACCACTAGCTCAAGTTTCAAAGGTACGGCGCGTACCAGGTCATCGATGGCGACCCTTGGTGATGTTGCAAGTTCAGGCAGGTCGGGAGGAGATACTCTTGTTGTTTAGAACCTGACGAGGGCGACTAACAGTATACTCGCGGCTGACGCACGTATACATGATGTATGAATGTAGCTCATCTTTCTTGTGATGTTCTGTGCGACAGCCTAAACTTGTGCCTTAGCTTGCTGGGTCATTGGCCCTCTCTTAATCCACCCATATAATAGTCAACTATTACGACGTATAACATACTTCATCATTAATATAAGGTCTATTTTCTTCTCTCACAAAGTTTCTTAGATCATGCATCAATAGCTATAAGTTCACGTTTCACTTCGTTCTCTCTTCACCCCAACATAAAATTCATTTATAGTCCTTTATTATATTTGCTCTTAGTTGAGCATAGATTTTTTTTAGTGTTTTAGGTGAGTATTTGTGTTTTTTTTTTAGAAGTCACCGGGAGGGACGATAGCCCCCACCTGAATATTTTCCACTGATGTCGGCGAAGGTGGGAATGGAGGGCGCCAGGCGCCAGTTACATGGTTGGGTCATGAACCCAGATGTACAAAGAAGAAGGCTAGAAAAGTACACAACACTAACACTAACACTAAGTTGTTCAACAACAAAACACCACCACCAGGTGACTGTACTCCGGCGACCTCCATTCCAAAAGCGATTGTTAAGCTTCGAGTCGAGTCTGACAGACGACAATCGTGAATACATTGTCTTTGAAGCACATCCGGGATCCAATCGATGCCCGCCAACGCCTATTCAGGGGAGGAAACCTCAAAGGAGGGAGGGCCGGCAAAAGGAGAACGAGGAGATCCAAGAGAGAGGGGATCATGGTCTCGCCAACCCGGCATTTGGTGAGACAATGCAATCAAGGAACATATGAAGAATGGCAGAGCAAGGCACTGGCAACGACAACTTGCCGGCTAGAACTTGTGCAAGCATATAGGGGGGTGGGCAAGAATTGGGCGAAGAGATGACTGAATGACCTCAAGGTTGTAGGTGGTCTCCAAAGCAATACCTCCAGGAAGGGAATGACATCTAAAGATGCCACCATTGCTTTTGTCCAGGCACACTGGATTTGGGTTTTAACCCAGAGACCACACACCTAAAGGCACCAGTTGGATCTTTGACGATGCCTTCAACGAGGAACATGACGCCCGAGGGCGCCATCATCACCGGCACCAGCGCAAGGATTTCGCCTAGAATCCACAAAGACGGGCATGCACTGCACCCACAACACAAGCGAACCACCGGCATACAACATCTGCCACACACCTACAGCCTGAACCCTTGTGGTTCGCTCAAGGCCACAATAGGAGTATGAATAGCTGCCGCCTTGTCGCCAGTCATCTTCGACTACCATGGAAGTAGAGAAAAGCTTGGGATCAGAAAGATGGGAGAGGGTGGGGGAAGGGAGGAAGCGAGGCTGCCTTCTTGAGCGGCACTGCAGGCCGCCGCCGCCGCTCGTCGACGAGCAATGGCGACGGCCGAGGGAGCTGCCGGGGAGTCGGCGGCACTAGGTGTCGCCCCCGAGTCGCCTCGGGGAGACGACGCGGGGGAGGGGGTGCGCTAAGTTTTTTTTTCATGTGTGATATGTACTAGCAGAGACCTGAGTATTTATGGTTCTCTATGATAATTGTGGTTTAGCATAATGTTTCTTTACCTCTATGCTCTACTGTCGTAGACTCATTAGCCACATACTCGTATTAGTTAGGCAAATAAAGTTTGGGAAACAATGTGTCAACGAAGGCCGAGTAGTATACCCACAAGCTGTGTAAATTGAGGTGGATAGCCCAGTGGTACGACGTGTACGTGTTGGGAGTTTTAACTCTCCATTGCTAAAAACAAGACTGCCCTTTGAATACGCATGTATTCACCTCAATCCATATGTGTTGGAGTAGTTTGATGTAGAATTTAGTTTAAATTCCACACCAAATCACTTCAACACATATGGGTTGAGGTCAATACAATTTGCTACTTCATAGCTGGGTTTGAGAATGGCTACCCTATCACTGCCAGCGGAGTATCATGTTTATTTGACAATATATATCTATATCTGTAACTAACTTAAATAGTGAAAATTCTTTTCTTTCATCTTTTACTCTCTTACTCGTCCGTCTCTCACTCTTCTGTCTTCCGTTTATTGGTCTGTCAACCGCTTGTCTCACTCCTTCCGCTTTCCGTCCCTTGATCCATGGTTGCTGTTTCACCCTTCTCGCTTTTAGTTTAGAGCTGCAAATCCTTCAACGGCAGCTCGGCACCACACCACACTCATGTTATGGTCTAGTTGCTCAAGTCTGTTAGTGTTATGATGCACATGCAGAAGCTTGTCTTCCACCTTTTCAAACTCAGAATAGGTCACACATTAGCCATCTATTTGAGTCAATCTCCTATCAATTTTCCATATGAGATTATTCTTTTATTACACTAGCATTTATTACGAGTATTGAAATTTATTTAGTTTATGGTTGGGTCAAGCCTAATTAAATAAAAAAATAACTAACTCATTATTATTGGCATGAACAACGTAAAACTAATTATGCATCTCATTGCAATGTACGAGCATGTTTGCTACTCTCTTCGTCCTAAATTATAAATCATTCTAACTTTTTTTTTTAGAGTCAAAGCTCCTCAAGTTTGATCAATTTATATAATAAAATAATAGCATTTATGATACCAACTAAGTATTATTATATTCTTCATTCTTCATTAATTATATTTTCATAGTATAAACCCATTTGATATATATATATATATATATATATATATATATATATATATATATATATATATATATATATATAATTTTGTTTAAAACTTTAGGTCAAACTTGAGATGCTTTAACTCTCCAAGAGAGTTGAAATGACTTATAATTTAGGACAGAGCGAGTAATTAATTATAATGCACTATAGTCCATCGTTGACTGTGTATACTGTGAGATTATTCTTGTGTCAACCCAGTTGCTAGTTGAATAACAAATAGAAACACAACAGCAAAACCTCGTTGTCAAAACTCAAAACCACCAAATATGCAACCAGTATTCTCAAATTTAACCCCACAATATATCTTGTAATGGTATAGTACGTTTACATCACCAGTACATGTACGGTATGCTGCCTAGATCCTGACAATGATACCAACTGGCCGTCTCAATCTCCGTGCTGGTCGCCGCTGTTGAAACTGGATCAGGATCAATTCTCGCTGGAACGCTCGCTTTCCCCCTCTCTCTCTCTCTCTCTCTCTTTCGATGAACTCGCGACGAACGCGACGAACAGATGTAACTCAGGGATTTTTGTGCAGCGCGCAGAACTGCTACTTTTCTGTTTTCTTTCTCCTTTTATTGAATCACACGATTACACAGTTGGCAAGGCCATGAGCACATCCGCACACGCCCTGTTTTAGCTGCGCCATCCCACAGCCACGGAACGTGGGCGCCATTGCCGGGCCAAGCTTCGCCACACACACACGCTCTGCATGAAAGGAAACGCGCACGACGCGGACAACGCCGTGCTCACCGCTAGACACACTAAGAATAGAAATATGCAACGCAACAGGTTATTTTTCAACAAACTCCCCCTAATCATGTTGCGCTGCACCAACGTTGATGACGCCGCTCCGAATGCGTAGCTCCTGGAGACGTTCGTGTGGAAGCGGCTTCGTGAGCAAGTCCGCCAGTTGATCACCAGTCCTGACATAGTCCGTCTCCAACGATCCATTGTTGATGCAGTCTCGAATGAAGTGGAAACGAACGTCAATGTGCTTACTTCGATCGTGAAGCACCGGATTTTTGGCGAGAGCAAGCGCGGACTTGTTGTCGATGTAGAGCAATGGCACGACAACCTTCGTGGCGCGAAAGCCAGAGTCCTTGGCACGCCGCGGTGGCGCCGGCGATGTACTCCGCTTCGCACGACGATAACACCACCACGCGCCGTTCAAGAACGCGGACTTGACGTCGAGATGGTGCACCGTCCACCCGTGGTGCATGGTGATGGCGAGGAGAAAGCGCACCGACTCCAGTCGCGCCACTGGCGCGAAAACCTCCTCAAAGTCGATGCCGGCGCGTTGCACGTACCCCTTCGCCACTAGACGGGTCTTGTGCCTGGTGATGTTGCCGTCGGCGTCGCGCTTGATCTTGAACACCCATTTGAGCCCAATGGGTTTCTTTCCGGGTGGTGCGTCGGTGAGCGTCCAAGTCTTGTTGTCTGCGATGGACTTGAGCTCTTCCACCATCGCCTGCTTCCACTCCTTGTGGTTCGCAGCATCGTCGTAGGTAGTGGGTTCTTCATCGACAGCGAGGAGCAGATCGCCATCTGCCACGAGCTCGTCGTCGTCGTACAGCAGGTTGTCAATGACCCTGAAGCGGTGAGGGAGGCCGCTGTCGTCGTCGGCGTCCAGTGTCTCCAGCGCGCCTGACGTTGGGGAAACGAACTCGACGGGGATCGCGCCCTTCGGTGGCAGGTTACCTTGCCACGGTACGGGTCTACCTTGAACACAGGGAGTTCGTGGTGATGAGGTTGCAGTGGACGCCGCTAACGTTGCTGAGCCTGGCGCCGATGTCGGTTGTGCCGTTTGTGATGAAAGCCGAGAGGGCGATGCTGGTGCTGCAGACGATGCCCTTGGTGTCGACGTTGCGGACCTGTGTCCAGCTGACGAAATGGTGTCTGGCTCCCCTCCGTCCAGTTCAACCCAGGACTCCTCGATGGCAAACGAGTCCTGGCCACCACTGTAGTCGTTCTCTTCCACGCCGCTGTTGTCGAACGCGCTCTAGTCCCAGGCAGCACCCTCCTCAAACACCACGTCACGCGTGACGTGCACACGGTTCGCGACGGGGTCGAACACCCGGTAGGCTTTCGAGCCTGCTTCATAGCCAATCATCACCATCTTCTTGCTCCGATCGTCCAGCTTCCCGGCGTTCGGCTTTGTGACCTTGACATGAGCCACGCAGCCAAACACGCGCAGAAAGTGGACGGCCGGTCTATCGCCGTACCAATCTTCGTATGGAGTCCGTCCCACTAGGCTCCGCGTTGGGGCATGATTCAACAGGAAGACGGCCGTCATCACGGCCTCCCCAAACCAGGGCCGGAATGTTCTTGGCCTTCATCATGCTCCACACCATGGCGAGCACAGACTGGTTCCGGCGTTCCACCATGCCGTTTTGCTAAGGACTGTACAACGTAGTGAGATGCCGCTTGATGCCGTGGTCAGAGCAGTACTCAAGGAAGCTCGCCGACGTGAACTCCCCCCCATGGTCAGTGCGGAACGCCTTGATCCGCCTCCCCGCTTCGTTCTCGACACCAGCGCGTAGCTTCTTGAACGCATCCTCGGCGTCGGACTTGTTGGCGAGAAGTACCTTCCACATGTACCTGGACATGTCATCGACGGCGAGCAATATATAACGCTTGCCGCCGGGTGTTGGTGGAGTCACCGCGCCGCACAGATCACCGTGAAGAAGCTCGAGTGGTTTGGAGGCGCGGTACTTGGCTGCCTACGGGAAAGGTGCTCGACGTTGTTTCCCCGCCAGGCACGCATCGCAGACATGTTCAACATGCTCAATCGAAGGCAGTCCGCGAACCATGCCGCCGTGGCTCATCTTCTGCAGGGCCTGGAACCCGAGATGGCCAAACCGAGCATGCCATCTCCACTCGTCGTCGTCGTAGCTGGCTGCCAGGCACACGGGCCTCGCTGGCTTGAGCGGGAGGATGTAGAGGCGGTTCGTCGAGCGCTTTACCTTGGCGAGCAGCTCCTGGCTGCCACGATCCCACATCCGGAGAACGCCGTCGTCGATGTCGATCTTGCAGCCGTTCTCGTCGAGTTGACCGATGCTCAGGATGCTGCTCCGGAGTCGCGGGATGTGGTACACGTCATGGAATGCACGGTGGCCGCCGTCCTTCGACTCGAACAGGATGGTGCATTTTCCCTGCGATCTCCACCAACGATCCGTCGCCAAACCTTACTGAGCCGATGACGCCGTGGTTCAGCTCGGAGAAGATGGACGCATCGCCGGTCATGTGGTTCGACGCTCCTGTGTTGAGGTACCACTTCAACTCTCCCCGATCGTTGCCGTCATCGATGTCCACCACGACCTTGCGTTCGTTGAGGAAGACCTGTTCGACGCTGTGCGCGCCATGGACGGTTTCCTCGGCAGGTGCCACCAATGCCATGAATAGCGACGGCGACTCTTCCTCCGCCTGGGCGAGGTTCGCCTGTGCTTGCGCCGCCTCGTCACGCTTCTTCTTGCGGCACTCTCGGATCCAATGTCCGGTCTTCCCGCAATAGCTGCAGGCGTCGTCGTCGACTTCGCCGCCGTGGCCCCCCTTGGGAGGTCCTGAGCGCGTCTCCTTACCGCACTCCTTGCCGCGGCCACGCCCGCCTCGACGCTTGCCAGAGCCGACCGGCGCCTTGCCTCGCGCCACCGACCCGTCAGCGTTAATGTTGAGGCGGGACGCGAGACGGGAGATCACCTGTTCTTCGGTGAAGTACAGCTTGCCGTCGATCTCCTTGCCGATGCCGCTGCTGCCCGATCCGCCGCCGCCTTTGCCTTTCCCACGATCGAATCGCTCCTCCGTCGCCTTCAGACGCCCAACCAGTTCCTCCAGAGAAACCGCCTCGAGATCGAGGAGGGTCTCTATGGCCACCGCAATCTGATGAAAGCTATCCGGTAGGGCATGAAGAAACTTACGAACGATTGCTTCCTCTTCGTAGGCATCACCCAAAATCGCCAGCTGGTCGGTGATCTTGGTGGTGCGGAACGAGAAAGCATCGACAGACTCCCCTTCCTTGAAGGTGAGTGCGTCGAACTCCTGGTGCAGTGTCTGCGCCCTGGCCTTTCGCACGTGATCAACGCCAATGTGGCGCGTCTTCAGTGCGTCCCACGCCGCCTTGGCCATGGTCTTGTTGGCCATGCTCCCCTGGAGCTCCGTCGGCACTGACTTGCACAGCGCCTCGAGGGCGTTGCGGTCGTCGGTGAAGTTGGTGGTGCCGACATGGACAACGTCCCAGGTACCTGCCCTGCAGCATGACACGCATCAACGCCGCCCAGTCGGTGTAGTTCGTCCTCGTCAGCATCGGCCACCCAGCATTGCCGATCTCCTTGACCGCGCGGTGAATCACTAGCCCACGGTCACCCCCGCCGCTGCCTCCTGCGCGGCCGCCGGTTGGAGACCAAGACCGCCGCCGCCCCGGCGATCTCGAATTTCTCGGCATGAATGCTGCGGTAATCGCTCGGTGACGATCTCAGCGATGGAAACGGGCTCTGATGCCACTTGTTGAAACTGGATCAGGATCAATTCTCGCTGGAACGCTCGCTTTCCCTCTCTCTCTCTCGTTCGATGAACTCGCGACGAACGCGACGAACAGATGGAACTCAGGGATTTTTTGCAGCGCGCAGAACTGCTGCTTTTCTGTTTTCTTTCTCTTATTATTGAGTCACATGATTACACGGTTGGCAAGGCCATGAGCACATCCGCCCACGCCCCGTTTTAGCTGCGCCATCCCACAGCCACGGAACGTGGGCGCCATTGCCGGGCCAAGCTTCGCCACACACACACGCTCTGCATGAAAGGAAACGCGCACGACGCGGACGACGCCGTGCTCACCGCTAGACAAACTAAGAATAGAAATATGCAACGCAACAGGTTATTTTTCAACAGCCGCCGGTCGTGCCCATGGACGACTGGAACATCTCGTCGAGCTCTGTCGTCGCCGCAGGTCCACACGAGCCGCTGCTGGTTTCTGCTGGCTGCTGGCTCACGACGACGTCGTTCGTGCGTCCGGTGACCATGCCGTCGTCCGTGCCGCTGCCGCCTCCGCCGGCATCAATAATGCGCGTGTCATCAACTCCGCCGCCAGTACCGCATCGCAGCAGTCCGGTGGTCCAAGGCGGCGGCACTGGTGCCGCGCTAACGTCGGCGTCGCGCGGTCGCCGTGGCGGCAGAGGCGGCATGCCGGCGAAGAGGAGTTGGAAGCGCTTCTTGAGGCGCGTGTTCCAGTAGTTCTTGACGCCGTTGTCGGTCCTCCCGGGGAGGTGCGCGGCGATGAGGGACCACCTGCTGCCGACGGCGGCGTAGAGAGCGCAGATGACGCGGTCCTCCTCGGGCGAGAAGCCGCCGTGCCGGACGCCCGGGCGGAGGTAGTTGAGCCACCGCAGGCGGCAGCTCTTGCCGCACCGGCGCAGCCCGGCCTTCCGCGGCAGCGCCATCCACCCCCCGGCGGCGCTGCCGCCGTGCCGCTCGATGTAGGACCGCAGCCGCGCGTCCTCCTCCTCCGTCCACGGCCCGCGCTTCACCGCCGCCTTGTCGCAGCACGGCGATCGCCCCATTTTTGTTCCTGCACCTGCAGTTAGTCAGTACAGAACTGAATGGGACTTGCAAGGGTGGGGATGTATATATATAAAAACCACTATAAGTGATGTTCATGAGGGAATACCTGCGGATGGAGTTGGACTGAACCATCGCTTTCGTGTGTGTGTATGCCGACTACTTCGGCCTAGCTTTATTTGTGAACTAATATCGCCATCATGCAACGCGTGGAAATGCAAAACATTGTGTGCGAGCTTATTATCACGGCCGGTACCATACTCGATACACCAATACAACATTGTTGTCTTGAGGTCCTGCTATATTTCAGGTGCCTGAAATATCAGCCATCAGATGAGCAGACACACCTTTGAAGATGCACAAATCTTGAAGCGACGTGGATGAACAACATCGCTTGAACAAAGAACAAATTTCAGGCAACTGATGGATACGAAAAATGGATCTCTAAACGTCTAATTGGATCTAACTGGACAACTACAATTACCATATATAATCGCAGTATTATGTTATGAACGAGATTTGCCTTATTATGTTATGATGAAAGAATTGCCTTTTAGACCGCTGGTGAGAGAGATGTTGCATAATATAAGATAGCATAAGGATAATGAAAATGTTTTGGTAGAAGCAGCAACCACAAATTACAACGAAGCAATCACACAAGAAAGTAAGTTAAAGCACAAGTAAAGTTAAATAATACTCCCTTCGTTTTAAATTATAAGATGTTCTTGTTTTTCTAGAATATACTGCAATTGTCTTGAAGGGTTTTAAATATATATACTTTCAGGGACCAGAAGGCAGTATGCCATTGCACACGGATTTGAGTGCGGTCATTGTTCCTTGTGGTCGTGGACGGAAGGGTCTTGTCTCTTGTCTTGTCTTGTTTGGTCAACACACTGCGTGGCATTCTACTGTTCATGACTCGAACAAAAGAAAAAAGACTGATCATATTTATGTCTTTCAGATTTGGACCAATAATCAAGCTCTGATGCATCATTTCACGGCGACTTTTCGCGACATATATGCAACTTGAGGGTATATTATTTTTCCACCCATTTTTAGGCCAAATATTACAGATATATGCAACTTGAGTTGAACCCGCCTACCATTCTGTGGTGTCGAAGACTTTATAGAACAGTCATCTGTATATTTGCTTGAAGAAGAATAATCAACCAACAACTGACTTGTGCATATATATAATATAGAGAGAGAGTAGCTAAGTGTAGCTAGGTATATGGTACAAATTTCTACGGACACTATATAAGTCACAAACTTCTAATTGGAAGGAATTGACCAAGTGTTTAGCTTAGACCAGTCTCTTTATAGATAACAGCTTGTTATTTTGGATTGAAAGAGACTTGTCATCATCATACTACTTCAGACCACATCACTTCGCCGCCGGCATTAGACTCGCCAGCATATCCAATGCCAATGCACAAGAAAACACCCCTGTTGGCTGTTGGCCTGTTCCAAGGGATTCTGTTTCCACATGGTCATGCATGTTTCCCCAATTGCCTCCATCAAGAGAGATCAAACGGTGAAAAAATAGAAGGTACTAACAGGAAAATGTTAGAAGATATGATAGGTAGAACAGTCCAAAAGATGTAGAACCAACACCTATGTTTTTTCATTTTCAAATAAAAAGTAACTAGGTAATTCTAGTCTATCGTATCTGTTCACATCTCCGCGGCATCGCAAAAAGCCATCATTGCAGAGCTCATCATTGAGCGCCATTGAATCCGTAGCAATGCATGGAAGAATCCTCAATTATTGAATCCATATGAGCCCACACCTGTGCCAACATGAATGCTGTTTGGTTGGTATCGTAGTCTGTCACACTTAATTAACCTTTGGCAAACCGTGGCTGGCACATAAAGTGTGGCGAGCAAAATCAAACACTACCAGGTTGGTGCGCTTCGATCTCCTAGTGCAGTAAAGATCGGTGTACCAACTGTGCAAGGCACATGGAATGATGGAAATGGTGAGGCAATTGGTCAAGAAGTGCTCTTCTTAAATGCTTAAAGCCGCATGATTATTAAGCGCTAAGATAATCCCACCTCACTAGAAGTTGCAGATTTTGGTTGTGGAAGCCACAATTGTGGCAAAGTTTGTAAAAAAAATGAGTCTATGGAATGTAGGACAGGTGCTAATAAGAAAGTTGGCGTGCCATAGTTGTGGCAGTGAATCGATCAGTTGCAGGAAAAACTGTGGCATGACTAATCCATGGCGTGCTAAATTATGGTTACGAACTAAACAGGGCCCAGCCTGCATGTTGTGGCAGTAAATTTTTTACTGGACTAATCTTAATTATGAATGGCCTCTGATTTGTTGTATGAGTTTTTTCTTGGATTGAACGAAGCATTGGCATGACCTACAAAAACCATATTATATATGCAACGCTGCATGACGATAGACCCTAGCTAATGTGTTGAAAACAAGTTTAACTATTCATCAAGTTGAAAGTTCACTTACCCAAGCACATTTGCCGCCGCCTGTTCTTGGACCGATTGAACAGGAAGAGAATTGTTAGGCTCCCTATACTATACGGCAAGCCTGATCTGAAGCAGGCAGCAGCTTCCTGAGATGACCAAGTTTGGTACTATGTATCTGTGAAGTTATGAATTAGTGCCTCGGTCCCGAAAAGAATGTAACTATGAGATGCGTGCCACGAAAAGTAGTTCATATTTAACCAAGTTTTTAGTGAATAATATTCACAGTTATATCTTTAAATTAATTTATTATAAAAATACATTTCGTAATTAATTTAATGGTATTTATTTAGTATCATAAACATGGATACTTTTTTTTATCTATAATTCATCAAACTTAAGGTACTAAAATGTGACACTATGCTAAAATTGCATTCTTTTGGGGACGGAGGCAGTACTGCTGAATACTGATGACAGAGAAACCAGATGTTGTTGTCGTACCTGGTTAATGCAGTAGTTTATTTATTTTCATTTTTTTAGGGGAAGTAGTTTATTTATTTTCACTTTTCAGGATGCTGGAAATTAACATGGGCCATTTTGATATACTGCTACATCTGAGGCCCAATAATCCAAGGCAGCATCGAGGCCGAGAAGACGTTTGGGCCCAGCCGAGCAAGGACACCCATCTTACCGTGTCTGTTCCGGCGCGCGGTTGACGGCATGGGTCGCGTGGCCGTCGAAGAATAGCAGCACTCGTTGGTTCTCGTCGGTCACCTCCGCGCGCACCACCTGTCCGGCTGTCCCTGCCATGCATGCCAAGAATAGCAGCGATGCCCTGATACAAAGAGCATCTGGAGCAGAGGCGAACGCATATCGGCCGGCAAGTTAAGATGCGACGCCACGCCACGACGATGATAGCCGCCGTGCTCTGCCTGCTCCTCTTCTCCGGCCGCCTCTCCGCGGCGGAGAAGTCCTTCGGCGGAGGCGGCGGTGGAGGTTACGGCGGGTTGGAGGCCGGTGGTGGCCAGCAGCCGCAGGCGGAGGCCACGGCCACGCCGCAGCCGGAGGTGGGTGGAGGCGCCGGTGGCTACTCCACCCCGAGCGAGGCGACGCCATCCACGCCTGCCGCTGAGGATACGACGACGACTCCGGCGGCGGATTCGTCAGGCGGCGAAGCATCCGCGGGTGGAGGCGGCTACTCCACCCCGAGCGAGGCGGCGCCATCCACGCCTGCCGCTGAGGAGACCACCCCGGCGGCTTCGTCGGGCGGCGGGGGTGGTTACGGTGCACCCGCCGGCAAGGCTGGCGGCGGGCTGGACCCCGACGGCGACCCGGAGGTGGGGCTGAACGAGAAGGCGATCAACGAGATCGTGGACGAGCACAACTTGTTCCGCGCCAAGGAGAACGCAGGTTTGCCGCCGCTGGTGTGGAACGCGACGCTGGCCAAGTTCTCGCAGCAGTATGCGGAGACGCTCAAGGGCAATTGCCAGCAGATCCACTCGTCGTCACCGTACGGGGAGAACCTCATGGAGGGCACCCCGGGGCTCACCTGGAAGATCACCGTCGACGGCTGGAGCGAAGAGAAGAAGAACTACCACTACGACAACGACGCCTGCGACCCGGGGAAGATGTGCGGGCACTACAAGGCCGTCGTCTGGAAGACCACCACCAGCGTCGGCTGCGGGCGCATCAAGTGCAACAGCGGCGACACCATCATCATGTGCAGCTACTGGCCGCCGGGGAACTACGACGGCGTCAAGCCATACTAATCTATTCTAGTACTCCATTACTAGCTGCACACATATCCATTCTCCATGCATGCATGCAGCATTAATCTGCTTTTGTTTTGACTAATAATTTTCACCAAGCTCCCATAAATATATTATTGGTCTCTCTCGTCTCACTTGCGCCTCATCTGCCTATAGTATTTTTTTTCTATAGTACAATTGCTCATTCATTTCTAAAGTTTCTTGTTTGCTATGATTTTCCTGAGTTCAACCTGAAAATGAGGTGTCTGTCAGTCTGTGGCATCACCACCATCTTACCACTCTGTACTCGCCACCATCTTCCTGCACATGGCACCGGCTCAAAGATGTTAAAATATACCTGAACATATACCATTGCAGTTCTCTGCTAAAATATATATACCAATGACCATTGCAATTCTCTGCTAAAAAAATATCAATCCACTGCATTGCACCGCTTCTTCCTTATAGAAAACTAAAAATTCAGAACAAACCAGTTTAGATAACCATAAACATTGTGATCAATAAGATATCTGAACTGTTAAAAGGAGTACTATATTATATAAATATAAACAACAATCAAATACAAAAAGTCTAATGGCTGCACACAGGATGGAAGCCATCGTGCCCAGACAACTAATTAAGAAACCGCATTGATACTAATTAAGAACTACGACGGCGTCGGATTCTGCGGATCTCCACATAGACGGCATCGGGATGGGGTCTGCAGGGAGTCTGGGTGCAGCCAGACTGCACACAAATTTTTTTTTTGGGGAAATTGTGTTCTTACCCTTGTTCAGGAGTCTAATTATAATTTTACTCCTGTTTTTT